GGGGAAGGAGGGGGGGGGGTGTCACAGAAAAGATATGTTTTTGATAATCTTGAAATAGATGAATAAAAAATGATGACATTAAATATAACAAAGAATTACTCAATACCAACCATCGTCATAACTATCAGTGCTCACTATTGGCCTATCCCATGATCCTTCACTGCGACCTGCTCTCTCTATGAAATATAATGCAAAATTTTAATATTAATAAACTTATATCAAAAGGAGCTAAAAAAACATATTTGAGGAAGAATAAAAATAATCACCGAGCAATGGTGCCAAAACCTGTAAAAATAAAAAACAACTAAACTTCAAAAAATTTACTGTTGAGCTTTTAAAGTCGGCGATTTATTGTTGCGAAATTCATTTGAGGAACATGTTAAGTCATGAAAATAAAAGACTACTAAATGCATTATCAAAATTACCAAAATTTAGGGTCGCAAAAAATAAGGGCTATTCCGTATATAACAAATACATAACACCCACACACCCAAAACTCATGTTAAATAACTATGTAACTTTTCAAATAAATATAAATCATCATTTGAAAGTACTGTAATGCAAAATGAAAATTATTTTAGAGATAAAAAAAAAACCTTACTTACCATCTTCACCTCCTGAAATGACAAAAAAAAAAAGTGATCTGTTTAATTTATTGTTAGCCAATGATTTAACATTCCAGCAAATTTTAGAATAGGGGTAAAATTGTTCTGGCTGTTACTTAATATTAACCATTTAAATATATATGGTACATTATAAGAGTGTGTTGAGTTTGGAAATAAGACTTACCCCTGCCGCCGTATCCGCCACCACCACCTCTCCTCCATTCACCTGAACTTTCTCGATTTCCATCTCCCTGTTGCTGCCCTGCCAAATCTACTCGTATTCTGCGATTGCGCAGATTTTCGTTGCTAAGCTTTAGCGCTGCCATAAGCGATTCCATGTCACCAACCTCAGCATAACCAAAACCTTTTAAACGTCCTCCATCACCGTCACGGGGCAAACGCACTTGCGTAACCTTAAGTAGAACCATATTAGGATTAATGATTAAAATGATACCCCTTCAGAAGACAATATAAAATTTCCTTCAGCCAAGTTGGTGACATGAGGACCTCTTTGAGTCCACTTGCTCTGAGAGGCCACTTGTGAAAATATTGTTAAATAAATACCGTATATTCTCATGTACAAAGACAGGAATTAAAAATAGCAAATTACTATCGAAAAACAGGAGGGGGTTGTCTTATACTAGCAACACATACAATTTTTTTATTTTTAAATCATGTTCGTCTTATGTGCGGATCAAGAATTTGCAACACAAGAATTTACTACTGAAAAAGCTACTCTTAGTAATGGATGAATGCAATTAATGCGGGGAAATACACTATAGAATGGTGTTATTTGGAAGATTGGTGCATATTTGGCTCCGGTTTTAGCCAGCTAGATGTAGTATGAAGACCATGAAC